AGAATGACGACCAAGAAGCTGAACTGAACCAGCACAAGATCAGTCTCAACAACATGGAGCAGAAGAACACCGTGCAGGACACCATTATCAACCAGTACAACAGCATGATCTCTCAGTTCGTCGGCAAGAGCAACGACTTGGAGAACGTCCTCAACAGAGCCAAGGTCAATCTCAAATGTCTTCATAGATATACAAACGTATCATCTGACTTATTTCCCATTTTTCAACCAGGCAATATAATTAAATGTACCATTGGTCTGTTGTAGGACTCCTTGTCACGTCTGGACCAGAAGAGCAGCGAGCACAGCAACTCCATCAACCAGCACAGCCAGAAACTCCAGCAGCACGAGCAGCAGCTGCGCCGTCACACCAATGATGTCAACAGGTCAGAAAAAGACAATTCCCTCCATGTAGTTCTGATTCTGGTCAAGTACTGGATAACTCCCCTAAAGTTGGTGTAAAGTACTGCATGTTGTTGTTGGTTCCTCAGGTGTTGCGAGGTCTCCTCCCTGAACTTCGGTTCGGGTATCCGGATAGCTACTGATGGTAGAATAGAATTTATACAGTGTGAGATGGTAGAGAAACCAAACCTCTGATAATTTCTCTTTAGTTGTTGAAAAAACAGCACTGATGTATGTACCACAGCAACTTAATGGATAGGCACAAACATATTTTTCAGGATCAACTCGACAATTTCCTTGGTGCGTCAGAAGAACATTGACCAGGACCAGACCTTCACCCAGCACCAGACCCGCATGACGGAGATGCAGCAGAAGATCAACGAGCTGACCTACTACACCAACCAGTACAACTCCAGCATCTTCTACCTGCGCGAGAAGACCAACAAGCAGGACTACATCGCCAACGAACTCAACATCACCATTCTGCAGGTCAAGCTGAAGGGCCAGCAGCAAGACATCTACATGAACAGGTGTGTTGTTACTTACCTTGATCAGACGTCCAAGGGATGAATTGCTCTCTTCTCCAAGACTGAACCTACCGGTAGTAGTTAAACATGTATGGGACTTACCCATTCAACCATGGTGATGCTGTTGCAGTATGCTAATGATTTGTTCCCTTCATTTGCAGACATACGGAGCAAATTTCCCAGCTGCAGTCCAAGGCTGGTGATGCAGAGAGCACCCTGAACAGGCAGAAGTCACAAGTACAGCAGCTGATGGACTTCAGGACCACCAGCAATGAGCAGTTCAGCCAGCTCAGCCGCAAGCTGAACGAGGAAGACTCCAGGAACAACCGACAGGAGGCACTTCTTGAGGACCATGAAAGAAGTTAAGGAAGGTAGACCAGAGAACAAATGAGCTAGCCGTTCTCCAAAAGCAGTTACGAGCAAAGCAGTCTAAACATGAGCAAAAGCTGGATGAGCACGGGGTTGCACTGAACTTGTTGAATACCAAGACTGCGCAAAACGAGCAGAAGAACCAAGACCAGGACACCAAGCAAGAGGAACACACCAATCACCTCAAGCAGCTGGATGACGTCACCAACGAGCAAGGCCAAATGATCTTACAGCAAGTGCCAAAGACTAACCAGTTGGAACAAGTCAACTCTAAGCAAGAAACACTGGTGCTGGAGCATGCGGAGAAGTTAGACCAGATTTTGAGTCAACATGCATCCACTTTGTCTGAACATGGACAAAAGAATAAGGAGCAAGATGAGGTATTGAACCAGCATCTGAACAGACTAAGTGAACTGGAGAAATCTTCCAACCAACACACTAAAGATTTGAGGGACAACACAGTCAACATTGACAGAGTTCAAAAGTCTGCCCGACAACTTGGTGACAGAACAGCAAAGCACCAAGGACTGCTGGAAGACCTTGACAAGCGTGGGGAGGAGCACAACAACATTTTGAGTCAACACAAGGTGAAAATAACTCAGCTCGAGAAAACAGACAACGAGCAGAACAAGAAGTTGCAGCAGCAGCTCCAGGTGATCGAGCAACAGCAACTGAAAACTGAGCGTCATGACTTCATGCTCAACTGGCACTATGGCAACATCTCCGTCATGAACGACACAAACAACCGTCAGAAGAATCAGATCAGACAGCTACAGTCCGAGGTCGATCAAGTTGCTGGCAGGGCACAGAACTTGGAAAACAGTACATATCACCTTGCCCTTGATGTCAGCTCCTTGAAGAGGATGGATACCATCCATGAAGACAGCTTGCAACGCCATGATGTACGGCTGATAGAGATAACTGAAGAAGAACTCACAACAGGACAGGCTTTATGAAAGGAAGATAAACCGACTAGAAGAAACAAGCGACGAACAAGAACAGAGATACAGGCAGAAGATATCCCAGCTTGTAGAGAAAAACAACCAACAGGACAAGATTTTGGAGAGACAAAGCAGAGGAATTTCAAGTGTGGAACAGAGAAACATCATGCAGCAGAACAGTCTAAACCTTCACAATTCTACAATCAACCGCATTCTGAAGCTCGGTATTAAACGGGACGAGTCCATTCTCCACCAAAATGTGACACTCAAATCGCTAGAGGAGGAAGACAAGAAACAAGCGCAAAATCTACAACGTATTGAGAACACGATCGGTCAAATACAGGACATGGACGCTCAGCAAGATGTGAAGCTCAACACCCACACCAATGAAATTTCTCGTCTTGATGAGCGTAACAATGCCCAAGACACAACGCTGGAAAAACACACAAATGACATTTCAGAACAGGCTGAACTCAACAACGAACAGAGGGGGTTATCATTACCCATGATTCGAAACTTTCTCAACACACCACGACTGGCAGCAAGCAAGAGAAGCAGCTCGGTGATTACCGAAGAGACCTGCAACGTCTGCAGCGCAAGAACGCGGAGCAGGACAAACGCATCACCCAACAGAGGCAGCTGTTCTCCAGGCAGGAAAGGAAGGTCAGGCAGCAGGACAGGATGATCAGCAGCCACGAGAACAAGATCCTCCAGGTAACTTCACTTCTTATCACTGTCTGGTGCACTACCATTACATAAAATGACCAACATTTATTGGCACTTTCTTGCATTTAACCATTATACTTACCTTGTTAAAAATTAAACTGTACACAACTCAAAGAAATTAGACTGGCTGGAATTTTTGACCAAATCACTTGGTCTTCATCAGCTTTCTGACCCAAATACTGTAGAAAGCTGATAAAGACCGAGCAACTTGGTCTAAAATTCCAGTGAGTCTTAACAGTTTTTCAAAAATTATTCACTACGTAAATTACCAACTCAGATGAACTTACACTTACCTGCTTTTGCTGTGTGCCGGTCATCCCCTGCCTCTTGCACTATTATGGCTGTCCAGTGTGACTAGAATTGATGCCTACACATACATTACCAGCAATACTAATGTATTATAATGAATGTCATTTCAGATCAACATCAAAAACAGCCAGCAGGACATCTTCTACAGCCAGCAGGAACAAGAGAACCACTTCCAGAGTCGCATATTGGAAACTCACAATGACACCCTGCAAGCAATCAATGAGTGGAATGACCACCAAGATGAGATGCTCCGAGACCACAACAGGTAAGTTTGAATCTGACGTATTACTTGTTTTTGGTGACAAGATTGATATCTATATTTGGTTGGAAATGTTTTAATAGGAAGTATGTGTTAATGAGACTACAATGGTGTGTCCCCCTATTTCTGTATTGACTTCGTACAGGACTATTGTGTCAACGTCCTTGAAGAACATTGCCCAGGACAAGCTGCTCACGAGGCACATCCAGAAGATCATCCAGCACGAGCAGCAGAACAGCCGCCAGGAGAACATGCTCAGCGACCATGACAACAAGATCACCGTCATCAAGCGTGAGAACGTCGAGCAGGGGCGTCTCCTGGGAAGACACAATGCGGAAATAGGAAGAATGGAGGCAAGGACAGACCAGCACGGCACCATGCTGAAGGACCACGACAGCTCGATTAAGGAAGACAAGAAGATGATCTCCAAGCATGAGAACATGATTGGGGAGCATGAGAAGAAGCTGCTCAGGTCAGAGCGATCAATGTCTCTGCAAGGAGACATGCTGCTCCAAGTCAACGGCACCATCAACAGCCTTCAAGACAAGAACTATCAGCAGGACAGTGTGCTTTACAATCACGAAAGGGTCATCACCGATGTCAAATCAAACAGTGACAAGCAGAAGACAACAATCCGTGACTTCGAGGGCAGGCTGCAGGACCAAGAGAGAGATGTAGGAAAGAATTCAGAGGCTCTGAACAAGGTCAACTCTCGAATCCTCCAGTTCAACCTGCAAAACAGCCAACAGGACATCGTGCTCAACCAACATGACATCAAGATTGTTGGAGAGGGTGAGAGGAATGACGCCCAAGATAAGGCGCTCCAACGTCATGATGACATGCTCCAGAAACAGGAGGAAATGATGCAGGCCATTCGGCTCAAAGATTCACAGCAAGGCACCTCTATGGATGCGGTAAGAAAGAAATTTTTTTCACTCACTCACACATACTCACAATCCAATTTATCATCTCTTGATCGTTGTCTTATAAGGGTTAGACACGCTTGCACATACACGTAGATGCTGAGGACTGGTTGGTAGGTCTGACATGATCTAACAAAAGATTACTCTAAGCAATGGAAGTTTGCGTTATTCAATAATTGATTACTCCCTCCTTATTTAGTACACAAGTCGACTTGGGATGCTGCAGCGTGAGAAGAACGAACACGCCATCTTCTTGGGTCAGTTCAAGACCAAGATGACGGAGCTTCAGAGGATGACATCTGATCAAGGAGTGCAGATGGACGAGTACAAGAACAGAGTTGGACAGCTGGAGGACATGCAGAAGACCACACTGAAGGACCATGACGACAGGATCAAAGAGGTTGCTAAAAGGGCAGCAACCGTCAAGAATAGGGTTGATGACCTAGACAAGAGAACATTCGAAAAGGACACAAAACATGACATCTTTTTGGACAAGTAAGTTTGACAACAATCATTTCTTATCTATGTAGATACATCTAGACAATGCATGATGTAACAAATGCTGTCATATATACATGTCTCAAGTGAGCACATCAATACTGGTGATCAACATGACATTGACGGTGGGTCTTACAAATGTAGCATTCAATATACGTTTATATTACTCCCCAATATCTTCCTGTCGTTCACAGCTACAGCAAGAAGATCAACAGCGTGCACGAGAAGACAAAGGTGTTGGAGAGGATGGAAAAGAAGTCGGAAGTCTTCATCAACCATCATCACCAGATGCTGTCTGAGCTCGTGGAGAAGTCTGTAGAACTGACAAACAAGACCGTGGACCACGATGGACAAATTGCCTACAACCAGATGAAGACCAACCAACATGACAAGACGCTTGGCCTCCACGGCAGTCAGATTACCAGAATAAGGGATCGGCTGGAGAATGCCACCCTGGACTTTGACATTAAGTACACAGGTCAGAACACAACATTTCCATGGAACATGACATTTCCTGTGAACACAACATTACTGCCAGTACCATAACTAATTCAACCACTGCTGCTAGCTTCCTGCCCTGTGATGTTGATGCATCTTTACTGTCCAAGCTTAAACAATGTCCCCAGACTGACAACCCTGAACCTCTAACAATACTGGTGTACTGAGAGAAAACTCCTAACACCTTGCTTAATGAATGGTTCTTATCCAGGATGCTATAATACAGTGCAGCTATGTTATATGTACCAATGGTGTTATGGCAACTTACATGTAACACAAAGTGCTGCTGACATATATGGAAAATGCTCAACAAATCTACTACCACTCCCTGCTGATATTGCCTCCTTTTTATGCGCTAATGATTAATAAAATGCTTACATGTGCTTTAATGCTGGTAACTAATGTGTAATGTCCTGCCAGTTCACACAAGCTACTTATTTTGCAGTAATGTATGAGATGTACTGTACTTGTTATCATTTTTAGTCAAGAGTACCTGCACTTCTCTTTGTACCATGTCAAGTGTTTGCACGTCACTGTAAACATCACTGGTGTATGAGAGAAGAATGGATGTTGTTCTCTTTTTTCAGTGATTATTAAAGCATTTGAAGACAGTTATAGCTTTGTGTCTTTGCTATAGCTCTTGTCACAAAGCCTAGCTACTTGTCTTCATTGCATTCAGATAGGTCGTGTTGGAAATATAATTAGATATTTTAGAAAGGTAGGAACTGTGGGCAAATGTGTGATCTTAAGACAGGCCTTCACTAGGCTTCATCAGAAACATGATTATGAAAGGAGTAGGAAATATACTTTCATGTATCGTTAGAAATCAGTGAAACTTAACTTATTTCATTATTATTTACAGTCATTCTTGAGTAATGACATCTATTTTATTATTTTATGTATTTTTACTCACTAATTAGCTTTGTTTCTCCTTTGCTTTAAAAATCTTTAATTAAAATACAGTAAGTGCGAACTAGGTGTGAAAACAAGACACTCTTGTTTTGTCAATTATAGTATGAAGAGTGGTATAAGTTTGATTCAAATACATGGATGTTGTTAGAACAATAGTAATGTCTGAAATCTAATACAGCCATCTTTCATGTCCTCTCAAACAAGTCTTTTATGTCATCTCATCTTCCTCTGTATTCTTTCTTTAAGTATGGGATGTTTTACATGATGTGTGAATGAGTGACTCCAATTGTCAGTAATTAGCTTATTCAACTCTGACTCTGCAATAGACCCTATGAAAAAATGAGCAGCCATGCAGTTGTGTACTAAGATTCATTTATAAAATCGTAACTTCTAGAAGGCCTTGGCAGAAAGAAGAAATGGGAGACACAGAATTTGGTACTTAGCTGCAAGTAAAAATAGCTCCTTCGTTACTTGGATTAGAAGTAACTCCAATCAGCCTGGTACAGACACGGATGTTTACAGTACCAGCTCTACCCTTTGACTCGGCAACACTGATAAGTGATTGTGACTGTCTTTTCCAAAATCAGGGGCAGATGCTCTGTCATTGGTCTAACTTTGCAGTTGAACTTGCTCTTTCGAGTCCAAGGCCATATTGCAGATTGCATATCCAACCTGATGTGAAAAAGCTGTGGTTCTTCTGCTGTAATTCAGACCACTTACTAGAGTAATGTTTACAGATCCCTCCCTTAATCCAGAGACAGCCAGGTCTGCTCCATAGCCTGTTTGGTCTTGGTACAAAAGAATACAAAAATACGAACAAACTTTGACAGGTGAAATAGAATGTCAAGGTCTGTCATAAGCCATGTAAAAAGATAAATCGCCATGGAATTAAGTTTAAGTCAATAATTCTTGTCAAGTTCATTGTCACAGGGAACATTCCAGCAGATGGATGTGATCAGACAGTCTAATTCAAGCAGATGAGGGGAAACACCGTCTTCTCCAAACTCCCATAGCTGGAGCTGAGGAGGGCACATCCTTCAACTGTGTGGAATGATGAAAATACAACGGTTCTGCTGATTTCACTTATAAACAAGTCCTAACTGTCTACATTCCAACATCATAACCTGTGCATATCTTTTGAGAAAGTTATCTTTCAACGGTCTAGCTGTGTACAAAATTGATGCTGTAATGCACCCAGGAGGTCTTAGGGTTACACAACATCCTTCAAAGAAATAGGGAAAACATCTGTTTATTAAATATCTACACTTGGCATCCATTTCTTACATCTTAATACCGAAATCTGAAGAAAAACAATGAAACATTAATTTTTGATAGAGATCTCTTAATTATTTTCACAGAATTAGACGAGCAAAGTTGATTATAGGGTGAAAGCACTACTTGTTGCACTTGTTGACATTGAATCATCTGGTTTATCCTCAGACAACAAAGAAAACATCCATTTTATTTGTCTCCTATAGTGAAACACTTCAGGAAGTGATCCATCTCTGCAATCGTGAGCTCAATGTGTTTCATGTTAGAACCTGGAAAACACACAGGTCAGACCTTTCCTGGCCATCAGTTCCCAGTGTCCACAAGCCCATTTTTAAGGAGAATTAGGCCTGAAAAGCACATGCCTTTGGGTGTCTGGGAGTAGTTATGGGCTTAGGAATGCCAAGGACCCCCAGACATCAGTAATCTCTAAACCATACTGGGCAGCTGGCCCAAGGGGCTGTTTGCTCTCATGATCAGACCTCTGTGGAATACGAATACACAATCTGTAAAGACAAGAATTTATGAATATCGAGTTGTTATCTTTCCAAACACAGTAATATGGCCAGTACATTTGTAAGTAAAGAACAACCCTCTATGATATGGAAGGCATACATTGTAAGCTGCCTTGTGCTCAATCTAATAGATTAATTACAAGAAAACAATATAAAGTTCATTTGACTCTAAATGCAAAACAAGATATTACAATCAATGACAGTCTGAATGTGTGATACAAGTTAAATCCTTTTGTCCTGAAAAGAAGAAGCCTTTGTATGGATGTATACCCTCATCATCAGTTTTATCATTCCAAGGAAGTTGTCCTTGGTCATCATGGAAGAAGAAGGAAGGAGGAAATCATCTTTCTCTTCCACCCCTAACAACACACATCTCTTCAAGCGGTCGACTGGATAACAACATAGCGGCAAAGCATGACTCACAGTACCCGTGGCTACGTCATCCTCTCTCTCACACAGCAAACAAGTGGTTCCTGTGATGCAAATCTGATTAAGACCCAAGATTTCTTCATTAAAACAATTATGTTGACAAGGTCAATTACTGATCCTTTTTTGCTACTATAGCCCAGAGTAGATAGAAGACAATAAAGAAAAAACAAAGAAACCAATGTCTTAAATTTGTATAACTGTTACAGTATCTTGAGGTGGATGGCAGTCTGAATTAATCCTACCACAGTACTGTATATCAAATATCCCTTGAAGGCAGCTGCCACGGGTCATATATTACAAGAAAATCATCAAAGGGTAGTAAAAACGCTAATAAATCTCTGAGCCAACAGTACTGTTACAAATTGTTTCCACAGTTTGTTATCTCGTCATGCATGAGTTGGAAGCCTTTCTCAGTGCAAGTGGCATCATTTCCAGACGCTTTTGTTGTGGCTCTCATCAACCTCAGTGTAAACACTTTCAAACCATTTTATCCCCGTGGCATCTTAACTTCCTGAGATCTCCTAAACAACAAAAGGCAATGGGGCAAGAATGTTTTGAAGACAACAGGTTGACCTGCCCTCATCTCCAGCTGTTCCCTTTAAAAGCCTGCATTAAAAACACAGTGATTGGCACCTGTGGTCATCTTAAGTTCAGGTTCAAGTCCCCCAGACTAACTACGCTGGCTTCAAAGACCACGCTTTGGGGACGAAGGGACCCAAAATCACACTAGCACTTTGTGTAAATGGGTAGTCTCTATACAGAAGGGTCAGAAAGTTCATAAATTACAACCATTTAAAATCCGGTTCTGTTAACACCTGCCATTATCATTTCCCATTTCAAATCCCTAGGGAATTCAAGCCCTTGACTCTACTGGGTATTAAAGCAAATTTCACACATCTGACTGCTTTTATCAGCATCCATCAAAATGCAAATGACCTCCTCCTCCCCTTTGGTTAAACCATCACAAAGGCCTGCTGAGAGTCCTGCAGAAGTGCAAACCCATCAAAGACCTCTGTGAAAGCGACAGTCAATGTCCTGTTTGTCCTTTAAAACATTGGGGTCAACTCCCAGGTTAACTCATTCTCCTGCAAAGTTTCTTGTTCTGCCCACATGTCCAAAACATTTCCAACTTTCCTGGGGGATGGAATGCTCATGTTTAAGGGCACAGTGGGGGGCTGGAGATAAGAGAATTGTTTGCAAGCTTTATGTAAAAGATTCTGGTCATTAGTCCTGCTTGTTTGATCCACTTATCTCAGCTGACTACACTTCTGTCCTCCTGACTTACCTTCCATCATGTGAATCACCCTGTGGCGTCCATCTGTCTTCTCTTTGTTCCACTTTCTACTGTTTCTAACACATGACTTTGCTCCACATGAATGAAGTTCAGTCTGTGAAGCTCTTTTACCAAGATTGAACTAGGGTATAAGTTACACCTTTATCAAGATGAGATTAGCACCCAGGTCAGATATGATGTGCAGATATTTGTGATTTTGTCCATGCATACCTCACTTATGTAACAAGAGTTCTGTGCAGTTAACCGATTTACCATGGTCTTGCCTTTCTACAGATCGAGTTCAGGACTGCTCAGACCTTTACAAAAGGGGCTATGTCCTCAGCACAGAGTACACAATCCCTGGCTACAAGGACGCGTACTTTGATGTCCACTCCCTGAAGGTCTTCTGTGACATGACCAATGATGGAGGAGGCTGGACCGTCATCCAACGTCGTGCCGATGGCTCCGTGGATTTCAATCGCGACTGGAGGGCGTACAGGGACGGTTTCGGTGACATAAAGGGAGAGTACTGGTTAGGAAATGCCCACGTCTACCGCCTCACAAACCAGCGTGCGTACAAGCTGCGAATCGTCATGACGGACTGGGCAGGAGACCAGAGGTTCTCGGAGTACCAAACCTTCCGGATTGAGGACGAGAAGGATTCCTTCCGTGCGCGCATCGGCCAAGCAATCTCCAACGTTGTCCCATCTGGCCACTTCATCATGCCAAATGAAGAGTTCACAACGAAAGATGTTGACCACGATTCGTACAGTGGAAACTGCGCTGACTCTCACTCCGGTGGTGGATGGTACACCAACTGCGGTGTCTCCGGCAATGTCAATGGCAGGTACTACAGACCAGGGGAGGTGAACTCAATTAATGCAGCCACTGGAATTTTCTGGTACCACTGGCATGGCATGCAATATTCCATGAAGAGTGCAGTCATGAAGATCCGACCTGCGGACTTTGAATGGGAGATGGCAACAAACCAGTGAAAAACAAAATGTAGCAATAGAAAAGATAGGTCTAAATACAGCTATTGAAATAAGTGCAAGTACAGGTAGAAAGAGTTCAAATTCGATATTACATTTATAATTCTTCTGGTGATAAGCTTCATTAAGCAATCTTACCTGACCTGAGACATACCTTGTGTCAGGCCATTCATAGTCAACATGGGCTTAAGAATAAACTAGTGGCATAACTAAAGATGGCTCATCCCTCCTTTGAAAGACTCAAGCTCTGTCACCTTGTGTTACACCCTAGAGAGGCACAGGCAAGTTCCTGTTTAGACTAGTCTTCACGTCAGAAGCCATGTTTCTGGTCCTTTTTGACTGATCATCTGGCATAGGTCACAAAAGTGGCTCAATGTTGATCTATTAAGACATCCAAAGACATGGCTCAGGTCCTGACTTGAATCGGGACGTGACCAAAGTCACAACATGTGGGCAAAAACTTTCCTCTCAACTTACTAGAACTGCTGACTGTGCAGTTTCAAGAAATCATTATGGGGTCTAATGTATAGAAATGGATCCTACATGTACAACTGTGCCTTAATGCTAGTGGTCTGTAGAAATGAGTCCCTTCAATTTAATTTCATGAGTGGATAGCATACTAAATTTGGGGATGTTTTGGTCGTTGTCTAATCATACAGGGAGTATGCAAGAAAGAAGATTTTTATCACATTCTGGAAAATGTGGAGTTCAAATTTGCAGTCAGGGAGCCAATGAATGTTTTAGTATTTGTCCTGTTGCATAGGAAAGCAGTAGTATCGCTTTTACTATCATAAAATGTGCTATCAAAATAACTGATTTTATCCATACAACAAAACATAGGTATACCTACTGATTTGCATAGGCATTTGAGTCTGTACATCATATTATAGAAATTACTAAGTTTCATATTACTAATTACTGATTGTGGAAGTTGTAATTGAAGGGTAACTTGCTAATAAAATTAAAGTAAACTTGATTGGACAATTGAGAAATGTGGAACCTGTGTAGGCAAGGGAGCAGGGTTATGTTGCCTGGTTTATTCGCCCTGTGGCGTAACAATTCCATGTTATTGCTTAATAAATAGACAACAATGATGGGAAACGAGGTTGTGGTCAATGAGAATGACAAATTGAGTGGAATGTTTTCAATACGGGTGGTTTAGAATCTTCTTGTTTGAATCTCTAAGCCTAGAATGTACTAGAAAGAAGGACAAGTCTCCTACAGTTGTAATAGCAGAGCCCCTGTCCACATTCTTTGTGAGACCAAATCCAGCTGTGTTCTCACATTAAGAAAGGATGGATTTTTGCAATAGGCTATGTGATAATGGTTCCAAGAAGAGGAAGACTAGGATAAACCACCCTCATTAGCGTCCTACCTCACTGCTTCTTGACTGACTCTGAAAGGAGAGGTATTTGGCTATCTTCCAGAGTAACTGTGGGGGCAGAGTTGGTGAGACATCCAAAGCACAATTGAGTAAGACCAGCTTTAGAAACCCTCTGAACCAGACAAGTGTCAGACGAAAAGTAAGGATCACTAAGTGATCTTTAAATCATCCTTAGCGGACAGAGTGTTTGAGGGCCACTTGGCACGACAGCTAACCTTTAGTTTGGTATGTAGAGTGAGAGGTTACAAAGTCTGCATGAAAACTTAGCGTTGATTAAAGTTGTAAGTGATGAATGTCCAGTGCACTAACGCCTCAAGACGGTAATACCTCATTGTACTCGCTCTGGTGGATGAACCACTTTTAGTTATTAAATTGCTGAGGTCTACTTCCCCTGTGTCAACCCTGCTTCCTTGTGAAGGTAATGCAATTGAATTGATAACAAAATGTGGTCGTATAGGGTAGTTTTTTAGCACCAGCCTTGTACTCAAGCATTCTTATATGGCCTGGTGACCAAAGTTGTAAATTTATAGACACAAGGAGGATCGCAAAAGGGTAAAATTGTTTTCTAACTTAGTATTACCAGTGAAGGTGGCCCTGTCACACAATAGATATACACTATGTACTGAGCCAAAGTATTCTAGCATTACATTTACATTTACATTTAGCTAACTGCTATACAATGTATACTACATGACTATATTTGGTAGACTACAGTTATGAAATACTGTCATGTTAGACATTCTCATCTTACAAAGAGACAAAAGTTAGTTCTCATCAGACAGTTTAAGTGGAAGAAGTTGAAAAGAACAGTAGCAAGTAAACTGGAGTTAGAGGTAATACTGGTGCTACCTAAAATGGTGCTACACTTTAGTTACTGTCATCAACTTAAAGGATACAACATAGGATCTGTTTTGAATCCATTTGTAAGCTACATAATGCAGTATGTCATAAAGAACATAAGAATGGCATGGAGCCTTCTGATACACGTATTCAAGAGTTCCAAAATCGTTTTTTAGTTTTTTTTCAGTTTATAGGAAGTTAAGATGTATATGTCAGCCTAATCTTCTGACCAAGAAGAAAATGGCTTTCAGAATGTGGAAAATGGTCACAATAAAGATTTGTATATATAATTATAACAGTTTGTCTGCCTCTTTGTGTGTGTGTGCAATCTGACTTTTGCTATGTACTACTTATGGCTACAAACAGCATCAGTAAATATTGTTAACTCTTTATCCCCTCCTCCTTGTAGCTGAGATGTCACCCTTGTTTACTGACACCTGCTTGTCAAGTATTTTGTGAAACAGTCCGAGTATGCCTGCTGACTTCGACAGTTTCAGTAACATTTTAGGAAGGGATCCAGTGTGTGGTATGATTCACATGTATACTACAGATGGCAAGATTTCCAAAAATTTTCTTGTAAACATTGACAGAGGAAACCTATTACATCACAAGTTCTGTGCACACTTAAGACTAGAAAAAGTGGCACCAGTACCAATGCTCTTAAAAACATCCCCATAGTTCTCCTAGTCTAGGTCCACTGCCCTCTTTCACCAGAAATTCTAGAAAAGACCTTGTCTTCCTCCCAGACTAGATCAAGGGATGTCTATCATGCCACCTACAAGCCCCAAGTCCTGGAGGCAAGAGATTAGGTAACTAGGTCCAGTAATGTTTAAATGGACTGCTTTGTGTAAACTGATAAGTCAATATGCTGACTCATAGCAAACCACTGATGAAGATGACTAACCAAATAGCATTATACAAAATATTCCTATACAGTAGTATCAACTACTGTGTTGTACCTACTGACTGCTCCAAAAATGTAAAAAAAACTCCTAAAATATATATCATATTTCTATTTGTATGGTATGATTTTTCAACTTACTGACAGGTATGAATCAAAATGCTACCAAAATGAAACTATAAATTTAGCTCAATTCTTTTTACTTGTAAATCAGTTCAATGCTCCACCCACACCCCCTCCCTGCCCTCTCCATGCACCCTCCTTACCCAGTTGATTAATCACATGACACTAGATCATTCCAGTAATGAGACCAAGATGCTCCTCAGACAACAAGAAAGGATAGCAAATCTTTCCAGCATCTCCCATAAATAGGCCCCCTAACTATTCAAAGGAACAATTTTCTGGTATGTTATCACTACCTCCATGATTCTAGTACGTTATGTGTGACATATCTTCCAAATAAAATGAAGTAGAATATACATTTTGAACATGCAAATGAAGTAGAATATACATTTTGAACATGCACAAATGTAGGTTTAATAAATTTGTATTGTAAGAAAGAAAAAGATGACAGTTGTCAAAAAAAGCTCAGAGATTTTTTCATACAAAGTTACACTGCCATAGTATATATATATATATATATATTCATCCTATGATTGTATGTAAAAACCATTCAAATTTGCATCATCCTGCTTTACTCTACTCAGCTGGCTGGCGATCGACCAGAGGCAATCAATGATTTCTTTTAAAAAATCCAAAAGATAAGACCTGGGGGTAAAGCTGAAAGACTTCACTGTTTCTGATCTTCCATCCATCTGAAAATCAAAGGTCATCATTGTTTCTTTGAACTACCAAAGGAGGGCCTGCAAGCCGAGGGGGGTCCCGACAATGCTCTACTCTGAGTTCGGAAACCTTTCGATTACGCTTGATGATAAATTCCAAGTGGCTACAACGCATAACTTAGAATTAAAACGGCGAATACACTCTACGCAAAATGCGAAGAGCGGTCCGTCTACGCTCTACATACATGTAGAATTTAAACGGCTGATTACGCTCTAGGAAAAGGGCTTGGGGGGCCCAAAGGGCTGATTCTTCCAGAGGCTTTTCCACTTTCACCTTTTAATTCCCCATAAATCTCCTCAACTGACAAGGCTGTTCCAATATTTCACAGATCATGGATCCTTCCAAACTACCCATCTGCCTTACAAGTTACAACATTTTTTTTTTTAAACTTCTTTCCACAACATTTTATTACCTATCATGTGGATTAGGGATTTGGGTAAAATTTCATATACTGACTGATTGTGAGTTTGATTCCAAATCAGCTGAATTGTCTTTCTGTCAAACATTTTAACCTGCCCCTCCCTCCCGGAAATGGAACAGTCCTTATCATTACCCAGCAGACCCAGCCATCTGGCTGCCTGGTCCCAATCCTGGTCTCCAGACCTCCAGACCAATAATTTTGAGTGACAGACAGTTCTTGTAACCTTCTCCTGACAGTGAAATTTGCTAAGCTCCAAACATGCCAAGAATTCTCCAGAATAGTGTGGGAGGCAAGTAAAACAAAGGTATAGGTAGCCGAAAAACAGTTTTGTGGACAAGCGGCTAAATTTTCGGTCACAAATGGTGATAAGGACAGTCTGGTCCACTTTTGCAGATGTTGCATGGATATTTTGAGGGGAATACTGATAATTCATTTGTACGGAATGATAGAGAACCATATTTCCTTACTTTATTACTCCGTGAAGGAGGTCAGGACCTCCGGACGGAGTGTTGTGATCGGCTGATTTTTCATGTTCGCAGTCAAAACACTGGGTTCTCTTTGTGTAATCGGCACGCAATTTTATACGCCGTCTGCGGGCATGCCCGTGTTGATGCACGAATGTGTATTTTTGCCGTTGCTGCTTTCGCGGTCAATGTAATATCGCAGACGCACCCCTACAATTACGAGGCGAATTGGAATGGTCCAGAAAAACGCGTTGTTTGGAATAGCAGGGGGGGGGTAAAAGTTCATGCAGATACGGGGTGGTTTTTATAAGTGGTTCCAGATGTTTTTGCCCATGGTTAAGAGATGCCAAGTTTTTTGGAAGATGTTCGCAGCCAAAACGCATTCTTCCGTACGTCGCATTTCTGTGTAATTTCGCATGTGGTGTTGCATTATGTCCGGGATGATGCACGTCTTTTTATTTTTACCGTAGCTGTTTTGATATTGGAGTAAATGGTTATTTTCGAAACATCCCCATGCCGTTGAAATGTTGTCGTCCGTTTATGTCACCGGTAGTAAGTCGGGGCGGGGCTGATGGGTACGGATATGTGGGGTGGTCAGAGGTCA